GTGATGTGGAGGGGTGTAGCAAGCAAAGAACAGCTCTCAACAGGGACTCAGATCACAGACGTATAGAACCTTCCATCAGAGCCACCATGCCAAGCAGTAATTTTCCACCTGCGGTGGACAGGTGGGAGTTGCTCGGTGCCCACACTACTGTGCCCTCCGGGGAGCTTTGCAGAGGATAAATTACTCAGGCAAATGCAAAGGACTCAAGAGGTATCCTTCGGTCTCTGACCTGACTGAAACTTGTATAGTAATTGTTGGGCACATGGAGGTGCTCAAAATATTTGTGGAAAAAGAAAGAAACGAGGTTGAAGTGGAAGAATCAGGGACAAGAGAAGTTCTCAGATGCAGCCAACCAGGGAGCAAGTGGGTCTCTGCCTGGTTTCCCTCCAAGAGCTGGATCCCCATGGGCTGGTGGGATGAACATTGCTTTGCCTCCTCTTAGACCCGGGGGCTACCCCTTGTTCTGTTCCGTTTTACAAATGTGAACTGTAGTCTGAAGTGCAGGGCCCGTGCCTGGATAGTAAGAGCCTGGGTGGACCACCTTCTGCAACCCTAATCTTGCACATGCCTGCCGTCCTGTTATCTCAGCTCCCCAACTTGTGGCCCATGGTGGTCAGAACACCTAATACTCCACCCCCTCACCTGGAAGTCCTTGCCACCTCCTCCAGAAAGCCTTCAGCTTCTTCCTATCCAATGGAAAAGACAGCTTTGAGCTGCCAGACCCACTCCCAGGAATGCAGCTCCTGGAGGGCAAAGTGGATGTCTTTGGGGCCCTAGCAAAGGACTGACCCATTGGGGTGGAGTTACTCAAGTCAACAGGCTGAAGAGAAGGGCCAGCCCACTGCCTTTGAACATAAAACACCTGTTAACACACAGTCACATGGAATGCCCCATAAAGTCTTGGGCTGGACTGGAGTGATTTGCACTGCTTCGCTATGGACAGTGGCTCCAGACCACAGAAAAGCAAGCTCAGTCTGAGCCCTGGATGGGAGGATCTCACTCAGTACAAGAGATGGGGCTCAGAAGAGTGATGACTGCCTTTGCTGGACTGGCCAAGCAACATCAGGTGAAGCCATGCCTCCTTTCAAGAATCTGTCTGAACCAAATGGGTAGGCACAAGTGTGGCCAAGGTCAGGTCCTAGCTCTGTCACTGACCAGCTGTGCACCTTGAGCCATGGATGACATTTTTTTCTTGGACAACCAGCATCCATTCCTCATTCTAACAGTATGCCAAAGTTCTTTGAGAAAACACTCATCCCCTTGGCTTAGTCTTGTCACCACTGGTCTACAGTGACTGGCTTGGGGATGGCACAGAACACCATCAAGGCCAATGAGACAGAAGATGCTTACAGGGCTTCTGTGAATAAAAGGACTCCTCTCTCCTTAGAGAAGAGGGTCCCTTTCCATTCCTGGTCAGCACTGTGTGAGAATGACTGCAATCATGGCAGCATGCTTTGATAAAGGGACAAGCCACATGGAAGGTCCCGAGGATGGTCACAACTGCACAAGATATGGCAGAAACAGGAATGCTAAGGCCTACCATGTCCCAGTTGCTGAACCAATACTAACCTCAAGACTGCATTCCATCTGGCATTTGCAGTGATATGAAATTTCATTGAGTTCATTTTTTGATTCTTGCATCCAAGATTATTAAGTGATGGCATGATGCCACTTACCTCAAAGATTTTTCATTCCAAAGTACAGCATTTGTAGGAGATAATACTAAGGGTTCTTACTGTCTGCTCTATTATACCTACCATCCCCTTGGATGCTAACAATGTCTAGGCTCCAGTTATTTCTCAGGTTCTATCCAACCCCTTCCCAATGAGACAGGTTCACAACTTCCAAACACATCATTCAGAAGTTTTTAATAAACAACTTCATTATAAAAACTTTTTTTGAAAATGTAATTCTGTAAAACATTGAAAAATCTACTTTAACAAAGATAGGCCTTGTGCATTTTCTAATGGCACTTATATTTTACAATTAAAAACCTTGTTTTATATAAAGCCAAAAATACTCCCGAGGTTATTCACTGTGTTTACAAAGTGCTAGGTTTTGTCTTGTATTTTTCTCTTTAAATAATCTGGTATTACGAAAGAGTGGCTCCAAAGCCTTGACCACTGGGAGAGAGGGAGGGGGGTGTATGAGAAGTGATGTTTCAGGAGTTCCAGTGCCAAATGGTGAGAGCTGGAGAGCTGCATTACGGGGAGAATCCGCTAAGAAAGTAGGCGAACATCTGAAGAAATTGAACTAGAACATTTCTTTTCAAACCCCTCCACACAGGCACTTGATTACCATGGTGGATCCTCCTCCCGTCAGAAGCAATACACCCCTTTCCCTCGCCACAGACCCTACTTTCCAGTGGTGAGGTCACAGCCAGTTCCTTCCACAGCAGGTTCAGAGCTCCAGGAGAGGCCAGGGTGGGATCCCAGAGGAATCTGGACTTTTCTGGCCAACACCCGCCTAAGGCAAAGTTTATTACATAAATATCCTTGTTAAAAAGCAAAATATTGATCCTGTACAATATAAACTGTTAAAAAAGTCATGCTTAAAAATAGCTCCTAGATAAGAGGGGAGATGGAGGGGGGGCTGGAGAAAACAGCTACCAAAAAGGAGGAGGCATAGGGACTTAAAGGGCTACTAGGGTCAAGTTTAGGGCAGTAGAAGTTCAACTTAAGACAATATCTACGAGCAAAAAAGAAATCACACCTGCTTCCCGGATTTCCATGAACAAAATGCCATTTATAAAAGGTTATGGGAAAAAAACTCATTGTTCCTCTCCCCTCTCTCAAGATGTGCAGATCCTCTGAACTGACCCAGCTGGCATGCTACCCCCTGGCCCCCCAGGACTGCACTCAACCCTGACTAGCTTCTGTGCAGAGGGGGAGGTGCCTGCCACTGTTCAGGGCAGCTCATCGCTGACAGAGGTTGGAAGCGGTAGGGAAGGGGACATCACCCCTTTTCCTGGTCCCTGTTTGGTCTCTGCCAACATGCCATGGCTCCTGTCCTGGGCAGAAACCCCTAGGCTCTCATGGCCTCAGTAAGGGTACTGAAGTGGGTTTGGTACTGAGGAGGATAAAGCTGTTCTTATCCTTTGAACAACAGGTTAATAAGGACTTTTTTTTTCTTTTTCTTTTTTTTTTTGGAAAGGGAGGTTTAAGAAATTGCTGGGTATCTACAGTCCAAAAAAAAAAAAAAAAAGGTGAAGGCAGATGTTCCTCTACACCAGCAAAGTTCACAGTGATAGGAAAATCCTTTGTGGGTGGGAAGGGCATTGAAGGAAGAACAGGAGGAACAGGCCTGAAAGGAAGAGGGGAGAAGGGGCAAGGCCCCAAGTTACAAGGTTTTAAAGTTGCTTTGCCTGTCCTATGAGTTTCCCAGCATCACTAATGGGGGAGAGAATTCAAGGAAGGGGCAGGAAAGAGCAGGCACAGAGAAGGGACTCCTCTCACAGTCCAAGACTTTATATTCCATAGCCAGAGGCCCCTCTACCTCTGCAAACAAAAGGTGCAGAAAAGGTGGCAACGAGGGCTGAGGGTTGCTGGGTCTAGTGATGGAGGTCAGAGACGACAAGGACAATGGTGGCGCTGAGTCCCGATTGGGTCCTCACTTACATTTCCTATATACGAGTCCCAATAACATGCATAGCATGCACAAGGTGGCTGCGTACCAAGGTGGACGCTTTTAAAAGTAAACCTTAATTAGTCCCTGGGACTCACTGAAGCTAATTTTTAGAAGCAAATCACCTAGTCTGATTCTAATCTTGCCAGACATCTTTATATCTGGTTTTGTCTTTTTTTTAAAAAAAAAAGTTATCCCAAGCTAGCCTGCCTAAATGAAAACATGTTTATTCATTCCACATTGCTTCCAATCAAGGGCCAGGAAGCTACATTTTAAGGCTTTCACCTCAAAGAAAGAGTACTGGCCTGCATTGAAGCAGAAGCGTGGGTCTTGGACCTGCTCAGTTCCTGATGATAAACCAAAGTGATTTCCAGACAGGAGGGGGACGGGGAGAACTGAGAAGAGGCTGAGGCGGTTCCTTGGGAGTCTGTCCTGAAACCCTAGTGAAGAAGCCAGAAGCCAGTATGAGGCACCTGCTAAGAGAAGTGCCCAGAAACTGCTGGCTGCCATCTGTAGGAGTTAACAGTAAAGAGGTAGAAGTGTGTTTCTGAATCAGAGTGGAAGTGTCTCAAGAGGGCCCCACACTGGTGGTCCCTGAGTGGCCTCCCTTCCACGAGTGGGAAGAATGAAGCCCATGCAGAACTGAGATGAAGCAGGGGTGAGGTTCAGCTGGGCAAAAGCTGTGCTGTCTGCAGCAAGGGAGCCCCACAAGTCAAAAGAATTAATCATTTATTGCAAGAAAACTTGCTGAGTACTGAGGGCAAAAGTGAGAGGGGCCACAAGGAGGTCGAAATTCTTTGATGGAGAGCACAGAAGCCTATGCACAGTGGCCTTGAGTCCAGAGGGACTGCAAAGTGGAAGAGAGAGGAGGAACACTGTGGAGAAGAAAAAAGTTTGGTATGGGATGCAATGATGTTTACCTCCCATGATACATCCCATACATGATGTATACCCCCCATACATGATACAATGATGATTAGGACTCAATTATCTGCCCAGTCCTAACTTTCTGAAAACTCTTCTTCCAACAATCCCACAACTTCCTGAAAAAGGGACAGGCAGGAGAGACATATGAGAGGCTCACACCCTCTCCTTTGCTATCCACACCAGCCTAGAACCCGAATCCCTCCTTCCAAGACCAATAACAACTCATGATATTCAGGGAAGGGATTAAGGAATAGGGGGGGTGGAAGTGGGCATGCCTTTCATTTCTTCCCCTCTCTCCAGTTCAAAAGGAGGATGAGGGGGTCATGATGTACTTGAAGAAAAACAGAATTGCAGACCTGTGAGAAAACTGCTCCAATCTTCTTGCCTGTCTCCTGTGGACTCTGCCAAGGAAGGCAAGAACAGACACAGTCATGGAAGATGGCAGAGACTGAAGCAGTCCAAAGTCAGTTTATTTCCCCACAGGGGAAAAATGTGACCTCAAATGAAGAGAAGTCGGGACCCGACTCCGCCTTGTAAACAGGGCTCCAGTTAACACCAGGTACCAAGTGGTTCTGGCTGGTGCCAACTGGAATGGACTGGTGGGAATGGATTCACGGTGTGTAAACAATGTTCACTGCAATCATTCTAAGGCTAACAGCTCAGCAAGGGAGGTGAAATGGTGTGTCTGAAGCGACTGTGTAAACGGTACCGTTGCTGGAAAACACTGACTGAAAATGGAGACGTTGGGACAGGAGGGATGGAGGTAACGGGGAGCAGGCAGAGGCCTCCCCCCTGCCTGATGACTGGAAGCAGGCGATGGACCCTCTGCAGGAGGGCCTGACCAACTGCTGTGGGGTCTGCAGGCTGGGACCAGAAGACGGGCTTCTTGGGCTACTTCTCTCGAGGTCATCCGAAGTAAAACCCTCTGTGTCTTCAAGAGACCTCTCCCTTCTTCAAAGAGAAGGAGGTTCCGATGCTTTGGAGAAGGAGAAGGCTAGGTGTGGCTCCCGATTCAGATTTTAAAAAAAAAAAAAGTAAAAATACCTGAAGTCCTATTGTATGACATCTTTTCATGGGGTTAGGGCTCAAGATTCCTCCCGGAACTAATCCTGGAGCTTGAGCCCCCAGACCAAGTGCTCCATACAGATGCTGGGATTGTTTCTTTCTGAACCCAGCTCTGAAAGCTCAGCTGCCTTCATGGGGGATGCAGATGGGACAGGTACTGAGGCTCCCTGACAGAGCCGGGACTGAGCTGAGGGCCTCCTTGCGGCTACTGGAATGCCTGGTGGAAACGAGGCAGGGTTGTGGTGCTCAGGCCAGAGGTGAAGACAGGTGGCAAGGAGTGCAGTGGCCCAAAGTTCAGTGGTCCCCCAGCCCCTGGGGAATCTTGAGGCTGAGCTTGCAAAGTGGTGAGCAGGGGCTGAGCCTCAGCCTGGGAGTAGCCCATGACCAGGCCTCCTGTGGCCCCAGGTGGGTTACATGGGGGCAGGTTGAGAGGAAGAAAGCCCAGTAAGTGGGAGAAGTCCACATTAGCAGCGCAGAGAGCCTCAGAGAGGTTGGCGGGGCTCTTGGTGAGCAGTGCTTCATCTAGGAGGGCCGCAGCTGCCGCCGGCTGAGGTGAGGTGGGCTGGGGTTCAGCGGATGAGAGAGACAGGCTTCCAGGAAGCTCCGCCAGAAAACTATCCACCTCCACTTTGGGCAATTTGTCGGGCAAGTATGAGGTAGATCCAAGCTGGTATTTTGGAGGAAGCTGAGCTGGAGAAGAGATAGGTGAGGATTCCAGAGGGTAGCTCATGCCCATGGGCAGCGTGTTGTGCACCAGGGAGTGTGGCACGCCCGCACTGGGCATGGCAGGGATGTGGGCACCATACATGCCCATGGGCAACATGCCAGGGAAGGCCTTGGCCCCCACCACGTCCCGGGAGGCCACGCAGAGCACGGGGCTCAGCTCCTCCTTCACGCTGACTGCGGAGCTGCAGCTGAGCAGGCCAAGCATGTCCACCGGCTCCGTCTTGATCTTGAGCAGCTCTTGCGAGTGGCTCTTCTTGACATGACGCGTCAGGTGGTCTTTGCGGCCGAAACGCTGCGCACAGTACTGGCACAGGAAGTCCTTCCGGCCTGTGTGGACCACCAGGTGCCGCCGCACGTCCTTACGAGTATAGAACCGCCGGTCACAGTGGTCACAGGGGTGCTTCTTCTCCTTGGCACCACCTGCTACCCGGCGTGAGTGGGCCTTCAGGTGCTCCAGCAGGGCCTGGGTACTCTCGAAGGTCTGCAGGCACACCTTGCAGCTGAGGTCGCCACTGCTGGCGGCATGCATGGCCAGATGGCGCCGGTAGCCCAGCTTCGTATTGTAATTCTTACCGCACTCAGAACAGTGGAGGGCCTCCTTGTTGGGGTCATGGGTCTGCAGGTGGTTCCGCAGATGATCCTTGCGGTGAAACATCTTATCGCAGTACATGCACTGGTGGGGTTTCTGGGCTGAGTGGGTGGCCATGTGCCTGCAGGTAGGGATGGAGGACAGAGAAGAAAGAAAGGAGATCATAAGGGCTGGCTAGACAACAGAGTTGTGCACTAACAGGCAACTAGACACAAAAACTATGGTAGAGGCATGCGATGGAATGGAACGCCATGCCAACTACATTATATCCTCTACCACCTGCAAAACCACATGTGCTGCTATTCTCTGCAGCATTGAATTCAGTAGCAAAAATATCAGGAACAATCTAAATGTCCATCAGTAGGGAACTGGCTAAATAAGTAATTCTAAGTCCATAAAAATGACTTTTTTTTTGGCTGTGCAGCATTGTGGGATCTTAGTTCTCTGACCAGGGATGGAACCCAGCCCCATAGCAGTGAAAGTGTGAAGTCCTAACCACTGAACCGACAGGGAATTCCCTCCTTAACTTTTAAAAATAATGACAGCTTTATATATACAACAGGTAACAAGCTCCTAGATAAAGTGGGAAAAAGCTATGAGACAGAATAGTGCCTATGGAATGGTACTATGCATTGGAAAAAGAGAGAAAATTTATGCATGTTTGCTCATATGAGCTTAAAATATTTCTGAAAGGATACATAAGAAACTAACATTGGCTACCCACAGGGAGAAGAAAGGGCAGCTTTTCTGGGTGTGATGAAGAATTTTCATTGTATACCTTTTGAATTTTGAATTACGTGAATGTATTTCCTTTGCAACAAAAAGTGTATTTATAAAAATTTAAATGACACAATAAAGGGAAAATGAAATATATCTAAACTTCCTGATCTGGAACAATCTCCCAAGAAACAGTGAGCCAAGTCAAAAAAGGAAGTTCAGTATGGTGTACGTAACACAATCCCCTGTGAAAATAAAAAAGGAAGGGAATACATGTTTGAATGTCTCAAGAGGGATACACAAAGAACTGACCCCAATGGTTGCCTTTGAAGAGAACAGCGGCTTCAAGTGTGACAATTTATTTTTCACTGCATGTCCATTTGTACCATTTAAACTGTTTGCCACGTAAAGCATTTAAATGTTTCAAAAGATGTGTTTGTGATATGGGACCTCAGTGCCCCTTGGTTTACCTGCTTCTGCTCCTATCTGGCTGGAAACCAGCTCTGAATCCAGGAACTACAATCCAAAGCTCCACGGTATTCAAGAATCAACTCAGCAAGACTTTGAGGTCCCATCGTTTACAAGCTCTGTGTGAGCTGTGTCATTAACCCTGTGTTCTACATAAGAAGCTGACGCACAGGACAGCCCCACCCACCAGTCAGTAAGTGGCAGACAATGCATTTAAACCCAGACCTTCTCGAGACCTGGATTCACTTAGATATGCCACTGCTGTCTCTAGCACAGCACCCAGTGATTCTTTCTACCTAGAAGGTATCAATCATACCCATTACCCTCATGTTCTTGTGACTGCTCACACCTATAAAGGTTACTATTAATCTCCTGTGACGTAAGTGGCATGGTAACATATGAAAAGAAGATGCTAAGTGATCCACAGTCTATTTCCCTCATTTTGAATCTGAGAAAACTAAGGCCCAAAGAGGTTTAGTAATTTGCCTAAAATTCTACAGTGACTCTGGGCGGAGTCAAGGCTCTTGTCTCCTGGCCCAGGACCTTTCCTGGAGCCTCCCACTGACACTCAGACTGCCACTAGAAAAGTCTACGAGGACACCCCCAACTGATATCACATAAAACACAGGAACACACAGAACCGAGGCATTCCTGAGGACCACAGAACTGTCACGAGGGCAATCCTAGTCACATACAACCCTGTTACCTATTTTAGTTCCTTCCTATCAACTGTTTTCCAGACAAGGAACTAGAGACTTTCTGTGGTCATCTTGTTCACGTATTTACTCGTGTGCTGTCTGTCCCTGCTACTGAGACAGTAAACTCAAGGAGGGTCAGCAACAGCCCCCACCCCCACCCCTGCACCTGGCTCACTGACAGGAACTGTCTGTTCCTATCACTGAACACTGTGCCCAGCATGTGACAGGAGCTCAATAAATGATAGTCAAGGGATGAATGACTGTGCATCAGGCAGTCTGCATCACTGGTAAAGGGCATGTTCATGGTCCTCTGATGGAAAGGCAAGGATAAAATCAAAATTACTTCTGAGTAGGCCCTGCTCCCTTCAAAGCTGCTCTGTCATATCTGCTTTACACCAGGGCTTTCACATTCCATTTCACTTTGGATAGGGGTTCTTGAGCTTACAAGTTTCAGGAAATCTTCTAACCCAGAGGACACCAGGGACTCTACAGAGACATAAGTAATCATGTGAGCAATACAATCTTGGGTAAGTTAACTTCTCCACTCTGAGCCTGCACTTTACAATTTACAGATTGGACCAGAGGGTCTCCTCTTCTTTTTAAACTTCTAAGGCTGATGCCTAATTTGGGGCTAATACTCTCACCATTACCTGACACAGGTAGGGAAAGTAGCACAGGCATACCTTGGAGATATTGCAGGTTTGATGCCAGCCCATTGCAACAAAGTGAACGTCACAGTAATAGGAGTCACATGAATTTTTTGGTTTCCTAGTGCATATAAAAGTTATGTTTATACTATATTGTGGCCTATTAAGTGTGCAATAGCATTATGTCTAAAAAAACAATGTATAGATTTAATTAAAAATACTTTACTGGGGACTTTCCTCGTGGTCCAGTGGTTAGGGCTTCGCCTTCCAATGCAGGGGGTGCAGGTTTGATTGGGAGCTAGGAATCCATGAGCCTCTTGGCCAAAAAACCAAACCATAAAAGAACAGAGGCAATGTTGTAACAAATTCAGTAAAGACTTTAAAAGAACAGTCCATATCACCTTTTAAAAAATTTATTTAAAAAAAAAAAAACCTTATTGCTAAAAAGTGCTAGTCATCATCTGAGCCTTCAGCAAGCTGTAAACTTTTTGATGGTGGAGGGTTTGAAATATTGTGAGAACTACCAAAATGCTTCACAGAGACATGAAGTGAGCAAATGCTGTTGGAAAGTTGAAAAACTGGGCCAACTTTCTTCACTGAAAGTTGCCACAAAACTTCAGTTTGTGGGGAAAAAAAATGCAGTATCTGTGAAGTGCAATAAAATGAGGTAAGCCTATATTGAAAAAAAAAAAAAAAACACCTCAATCTAGTCTGTTCATGGCTATCTGATATTGTACCCATCCAAGTCTAGTGTTTGAATAAAAAATACCACCATTATTTTTCAGTGAGTGACCTCAAATGGTTGACATTTAGGATACACTTATGAGACAAATTAACCTCTACTCTTCTGCCACAGATAAAGCCCCACACTCAGTGGAGTTGCTCTGGCTTTATCCCTGGGAATCTCAGGCCAGGAAGAGGTATGGGAGCGTCACCTACCTATACAGTTTGTACTTGGAGGCAAAAGCCTTGCCACAGTGCAGCTGAGGGCAGCTATACGGTCTCTGTTCTGGATGGGGGAGGCTGTGAGGCCTCAGCTTCTCCCCATTTGAGAAGGGTGTCCCCGAGATTTCACATTGGCACTTCACTTGACTCTCCGCCTCCCGGCCCCGAGGCCGGGGCACTAGTTTCCAGCCCACTTCCTCCTCCTGCTTTGCATCTTGAATCCAGGGGGGGACGCTGGTGAAAAATGTGGTCATGGCAAGGCTAATGGCGAAGGGCCATGTTATTGAGAAAGCCTCCCCATCAGCTCCACAGGGCTCTGTGCTCTGTCACAGCCTCCAACGCAGCCTTCAGAAAACAATCTCTTCACCTGAAACATCAGAACACCTGGTGTTAGGGAGCCCAATACCATGAAAACATGGGCTCTGGAGGCAGACAGAGACCCAGTTCCATCCCAGCCCTTCCACTTTGAAGCCATGTGACTTTCAGCCAATTACTTACTTCCCTGAGCTGTTTCCTCATTTACAACATGGGCTTAATAATCTCCCACATCATAAGAACCTTTTGAGGGTTAAATGAGATAATAAATATAAAGCATTCAGCAGAAGGCTGGGCACCTAGTAAGTGCTACATGGTAACCATTATTACTAGTACCAACTAGGCTAATAGGAAACAGAATAATCAGAGGAAGTAAAAGCCTTAAACTCCCTTTTCCTTCCAACTTCACTTTTACATCCTTTCCACTAAATTTAGACAGCAGCACCTCCTCCTCCTCTTCACCCTACCTCCTCCTCACTTTCTACAATTCTCCTCCTCATGGAGGTGCTAAGGAGCAATAAAATGCCCAAAAGGCATCAGAAGAGAAAGAAGCCTTTACTTAGGAAATTTACACCCTGGAGAGTCAGCCTCTGTGCCAGATGTGTTTCTCAACAGTACATCAACATCAAGAGGTTCATTTGAAGAGGCAACAGCAGACTCAGCATTTCCACTAAACCAGTACTGGTCCCATCCTGCCCTCCACCACTACTCTGGGTCTCTTGGTCTCAGGGCCCAAACCACACTTCTTTAGCAAAGCCCGTCCAATAACCAAAGTGTTGAGCGGCCCCTCCTACAGACCCTCATAGAACACATGCACGTCTCCATTGTGAACAGGTAACATACTTGCATTAGAACTCAGATTCCACCACCAAACTCAAGATACTTTGAGCGCTCAGATCATGTCTCTTTCATCTCCGTACACCTAGCATCTAGAAAAGGACTTTCAGCTTTCTTTTAGATGAGGACATAAGTCACTGAATGCAGTGGATTCCTACAGGCTAACACACTCAGGAAGTTCTGGTTTAAACTGAGTTCCAAAGGGGGAGACCATATCTTGAAGTCTTTCTACTGGGTTGTGGGGGAGCAGGTAAGCATAGGTGACACAACTTCTTTACTGACATCAACTCAGAGGAAGAGAGAAAGGGCATTAATTCTCAAAAGGGACACAGCAGACCCATATTCACACTCACAAGCTCACCACACAAACAGGTTACCAACCTCAATGTAACTTGCTACAACAGGGGGATTTCCTTTGAAGAGCTCATGCCAAAATTTGGTCATGAGGCTTTTCCATGTGAAGGGAGCAAAACGGGTATGTGGGGATTGTCCACAAGAATCTGGGGAGGGCTCCAACTGCACAAACTAGCTGTGGGCCAAAGAATGCTTGCTCAGCTCATTAGCACCTGCTGCTTACAGTGACCATTCAACCAACAGGCTGGCCATGAACGAGATGATGGGATCAGCGGGTTCATGCCCGAGAGAGCTTTGCTCATCATTAACATGAGCTACGTCCTGTTCAGGAACCATTCCTCTTGTTGAAGAAACACTGCAATGTAATATGATAAACAATTTCCCCATCACGAGTGGAGATGTGCCTAGAAAGATCTGCACAAAGGTGGCTGCATTTTGCATGACTCACATGCTAACACTAAAAACTAGTCCCACTTGAGCCTTCGAATCATGGCATATTTGTCTACTTCACGATAAACCTCAAAGGCCTCTGACGTCTGGCTTTTATTGTTTAAGTCCCCCCTTCTTCCAAAGGGTGGAATTATCTGTTTATAATAGCAGTGATTACTAGGCAGCTTGGAATTGGGTAGAGAGCGAGCACGAATTTGAAAATCTAGTTTGGAGGGAATTTCCCCCACCTTCAAAGTCAAATTTTGCCCCCTCACCCCACACGTGAAATCACGCACCTCTGCCTCTGGAAAGCCAGGAATGGCAGCCAGAGGGAAGGAAGCAAGTCGCATCACTTGGCTGACGTGAGAGGGAAGCCTAGCCCTGGAAATTCCGCACAAACTCAGAAAGAGAACAGTACGTCCCCCACCTCCCACACATCCACCTCATCTGTTCTCCTGAACAAGCACAAACAAGACACAGCAGTTTAGTATGCTGCTACTGAAAGAGTGAGTAATGGGCTTCTAGGAAAGAGGCTGGCGGTGGCTAAGAAGAGCTCACGAGGTTGCACTGATAGAAGCAAAGAAGGAAGGCAGCAGCCATGTGCTTGCCCTGATCTGCACATATGGGAGCTTTGGCTTTAGTGTTACCTTAGGAATCCTTTAGGAAATCTAGTTTTTCTCCCTCTGTCCTTTGTCTGCAAACTCCTCTCATCCAGGAAGATTCCTGGGCCTCTCCCACATTATCCGAAGGCCTATTTCTTCGGATTTCTTCTCCACAAAACTGCGAAAAAAAATCCTGCTTCTCTTTCAAAGCTGTTCTTCTGGTCTCACACTCTAACCTTAACAACTGTAGAAGCTGACAGAACCTGTTCCCATAAAACAAACACAATCAATCCCTCCCAGTTACTGGTATAACTCGGTATATTTTCATCCTAAGATTCCTTCTGGCGCCTGATCTCAAGAGGGAGGTATTGTGGAAAGAACCTTGGACTTGCTATCAGAAGAGCTGCCACTTACTGACTGTGAAACCATGGGTAGGTCTGTTTCTCTGAACCTCAGTTTCCTCAATTTCTAAAAGAGAGATTAGTTCTTACCTACCAATATTCTCATGGAAGATTCAGTGAAACAACACTCTTAAAACATCTGACATAATATGTGTGAATACAAACAATGCAGCCTCTGAGGTCTAAATTGTGTCTCCTTTTCGGCACAGGGCCTGAGTAGTACGTTTTTTTTTCTCCCTTAATGTGACTTCTCAAGCCTCAGAGTGAGTTTCCTTCCCTTCCCAACACCTCCCCAGAATGCAGCCTTCCTCTTTTCCCCCACAATTAACCCTCAGCACATCCCCCAGAGCCAGTCCCCCTTTACTTTATCTTTCTCCAGCACCATATCCTGGGCCTGAGTTCCTTCAGTTTAGGAATCTCTTCTATTATTAAGGCTTCCTAGTTAAAAATTCTCTACAGCCCTCTTGGAAGCCTTTAAAAGAGGCAGATTAGTCCCTCATCTATCTGTCCTCTGCTGTGTGCCATGATGTCTGCTGCCCTCTGATGAAACTATAGTTTTTATGGTGTTACATCATCTCTATAGAAACTGTGTTCTTTCTCCATTATTAGCCTATTTCCTCATCTGTAAAACTAAAAATACTTACCTCACAGGCTTGTTTTAAGGATTATTTTAGTCAGGTATGCAAAGGGCTCAGCATTCGGCTTGGCTTGCACTAAGTACCCAACAAAAGGCAGCGATTATCTTTGCTTTTGTATTGAGTTGCATGTTCCCACCTTCGCCAGAGTTGAATTCTCCCAAATCTCCCCCCAAACTGTTAAGAAATAGCCCCCCTGCAGCAAGGAAAGGGTTAATCTCTAAGTGTTCTTAACTAGAGACCCACAGAGGATTAACAGCTCCACTTCAGTGACTACCCTAAAATAGCTTTTATCCCTCCTGCCCAAGAGCTACTTGGGGATCTGAAGAACTCAATTCAACACCTGCCGAGGAGGAAACACACCCAGGAACTTTCCTTGGGGTGGACAGAATCTTCCCCTAAGCAGAACCCAAAATAGCAACTGGGAAATTATAAATAGAGATAAAAAAAAAAAAAAAAAAAGTCCTGACCTGGGCAAGGAAAGATACACTGACTGGCTGGAGAAGGGCGAGAAGGAAAGGGGGGAATGGGTATAGCTGCCTCGCAACCCCCCCACTCCCCGCCACACACACACACTCCCCAGTGGTGAGAGAATTAAATTACAGGGAGGCTGGAGAGTCTCAATGGCTTGCATCATTCCAAGAGACATCAAACAGGATTAACAGGGGTTGGATTTACTCCCGGGCTGCTAGTTCTAGTGTAGATGGATCCTCTTTGGAGTCCTTTTGATTCCCGATTTCATCTGATTCCCCATGACTCCCACTCCTAAGGAGGTCTTGAGCAAATGGCTGCAACTCACAACAGCCCCATTTTCACCAAGAGGAAACCTGATTAGACTCCCACCTGAATCCGGTGGCTTCACCTTGGGAGGCTGGGTTAGAAACCCCAGGCTAGGCTCTTTCCGAGTCCCAGGCAGACAGGTGGGAAAACACACAAGCCAGGAGACAGGAACACTTACAGGTTAAAGTACCAACTCCCCACACCCAATATCCCCTTATCTTGCACCTTGCAGGTCCATTTTCCCCACCAAGACGGGGCCACAGCCTGGGACAGGATTTGCAGGGGACAGCTTGGCTCCTGAGCAGTTCTAGACCACCATACTGCGTGGCGGGGAGGAGGGGGTATGAAACGCCCCGGGACTGCGAGGGCTGCGGGTGGACGGCTGCCAGACAAGGGACAGAAATTCAGGGAGAAGACTGGAGGAGGTCTCAGGAATGAGAGGGAGGGAGGGGCGAGTTATCTGAATCCCAAAGAGACCCCCGCCACCACACCCACCGCAAAGAAAGAGAGACGGGTTGCGGATGGTGTACTCCGGCTGGAGGGTTAAAGGGGCTAAGATAAAAGGCGAATTCCCTGAATTTCAAGAGTCTCAAATGGAACTGCGTGGAAGCTGTCTGGAGGTTGGGAGTAGGATCGCCAAGGAGGAAACTATGGGAGAGCTCATCTGGGTTCCCCAGAACCAAATATTTGAGGGAAGCCTCAAAAGGGGTTATGTGGTTCTGGGAAATGAAACAGAGGGGAAAGAGCGGACTATATGGAGCAGCAAAGGGGGTTATGTGGGTCCGGGTAGGCGTGTCTGAGGGGAGGGAGCAGGTGCAGCTTATCTGCGTCCCCCAGACCCGGGTCCCTGGTAAGGTCAGCTGCGCGTTATCTGGGTCTCCAGGGAGCCTGGGGGGGCGGGGGGTGGTCGGGAGTAGGGGACCTCCAGGGCTGAGTCTCCCGGTTTCGGGTGGGCCAGAGGGTTTCTTCGAATCCCCAAGACCCAGGTAACGGGTCCGAGGAGAGTTCTGGTCACCCTGGGGTCTATCTGGGCCGGGCTGGCGTAGAGGGGGCCTCGGGTCGGGGGTGTGGGCGACCGCGCTGACGGGCCCACGATGAGGGGCGCTGCCGCTCCGGGTGCCCGGCGCGCGGGCACAGCGAGACGGCCTCCCGCCCCGCTCCCCGCCGTCCCCCGGGGTCACCGCCGGCACTCACCGCGCTCCGAGCCCCGCGCTGCGGGCCGGGCCGCGCTCGGGCTCCGCCAGGCCCGCTCAGGCCCCGGTAGTGGCGGCGGTCGGGCCATTGTGCGGTGCATTGTGGGAGCCTCGCGAGCGGGCGCTCGGGCCGTGGAGGGGGCGGTGCCGCGGGATCTCTATGGTCCCGCCCGCCCGCCGGCTAGAGCGGCCGGGGCGGCGCGCGGGCGGCACGCGGGGGTCGCCGGGAGCGGGGCGGACGTTCGCGCTCTTCCTTCCCTCCCAGCCTTCGCGCCGCGGCGCCCTCTGGCTCTGGAGCCGCTATGGGCGCCGCCGCGTGGGCACCGTCTCTCTTGCCGCCGCGTGTGTCTCTCCTGCTGCTGCTTCTGCCGCTCCCGGGGCTGTCCGTGGGCTCCTGGGATCCGGCCGGTTACCTGCTCTACTGCCCATGCATGGGTAAGGCCTCCCGAGCCTTCTGTCCAAGTGGGGAAACTGAGGCCCGGAAAGGAGAAGCCACTCCTCTGAGGCGCCCAGAGACGCCTTGACAGGTCCGAGAACGGACTCCAGCGCTGGACAGGGCCTGCTCCTCGACTTTCTGCCCTTGTGGCAAGGACACTGAGGGGCTTCTCTGTCCAGCCTTCCATTTGGCAGATGAGGAAACCGAGACCAGGAGAGGTTACGACGTGTATTGCGCAAAGCCTGAGCCAGCCCCGAGTCCAGTAAATGGAGTCAGTGGGGTAGAACTTGATGTCACTGACCAGTGCTGGCTCTGGGCGATTCATTCAACACATGTTTATAAGGCACCTACTGGGTGCCCAGCCCTGTTCTCTGCTCTAGGGTGGTGATAAGACAGAAAGCTCTATGCCCTTGTAGAGCCTTCATTTTACTTGAGAAAAACAGACCATAAAAGATAGGCATAAAGAGTAAGTAATTGCATAATATCTTAGAGGAGAGTAAGTGCTATGGGAAAATTAAAATAGAGCAGGGTAAGGGAGAATCTAAAAGCTGGCAGTGGGGTGCAGTTTAAATGGGGGTGGTGGAGTGTCATTTTAAAGTCACTTATTCCTAAAACCCTCCAGTCTCCTGACCATAATGGTATGTCCCTCTGTGCATCATCTCCACCACACCCTTCTCCCCAGATGTTCCAGTTACAGGCACAGTTATCCCTTTCTGTTCCTTACACAGGCTTGGTCCTGCAGCCTGCGCTATTCCCTCAGCTGGGAACACCCTCCTCTTGCCTCTGTGCCAGACCAACATCTTCCCATCCTCATGCCACAGCTTATAAGTGTCGCCAGAAAGGACTTCAGTGACCTCAACCCAAATAATCTCATCATTTTTCTCCATGACCAAACATGTTTGCTTATCTTTACTGTCATCCTACCTGGACTGTGAATGCCTTGAAGGCAGAGACCTTGACTTTCTTGCTCACTCCTGTGTCCCAGCACCTAGCAGAGATACTGACACATGGTAGCCTCTCAACAGTCTTTGTGGAATGAATGAATGGATGCCTGCTGGGGGAGACAGAAACAATCAGATAGGGTCCTTGCCCCTGAGGCATTTACAGGCTGAGGAAAGGGCCAAAGGCCAGGAAATGGGAAAGGACATTCTAAGAAGAGTGGAAGAACCACTCAAGTAGCTCATCCAAGGTGGGAGATGGAGGATGGGTACTGAATATGGCAGAGGGGTCATGAAAGGATCCCAATGAGTGAGGCATTGGAGTTACCCCTTCATGTACAGAGGGGAGGAAATAGAAGGGCACCCCTGGCTGATGTAACAGCAAGAGCGAAGACATGGGGGTGGGGATGGGAAGTGCAGAGCATGTTTGGGAAACAGCAAGAACCTGGAATGACTGAGGCAGAAGAGGCAGGGCCTTGACCATCAGACCCAGGAGTCCAGACTTGGTCCCATGCTGCCAGCTCCCCTGGCTATCCTTGGTATCCTGGTCCTCCCCATCCCTGGCTCCGCATCCTTTCTGAATCTTGCATACCCCAAGCCCTCAACACCCCAGTCCTCACTTCACCTGCAATATACCATCCAGGGCGCTTTGGGAACCAGGCTGATCATTTCTTGGGCTCCCTGGCATTTGCAAAGCTGTTGAACCGCACCCTGGCTGTACCTCCTTGGATTGAGTACCAGCATCACAAGCCTCCTTTCACCAATGTGAGTACTTCCTGCCTGCTGTTTGCCCTTGTCTACCTTTCCCTAGTCATGCTCACCTCTGCTTGACCCCAAGTCCTTTTATAGGCTTTATCTCCCATCACCCTGAGTTTGCCCTATCCACCACCCAGAACTGTCCTCCCTGGCTAACTCACTAACATTTATTCAGCACCTGCTTTCTGAGCACTGCATGAGGATTAATTCTTTTTCTCCCATCACATTTCTATTAAGAAACAGGTTTAGAGAGGCTTCGCTGTTATGGGCTTCCCTGGTGGCTCAGAGGGTAAAGCATTTGCCTGCAATGCGGGAGACCCTGGTTCGATCCCTGGGTTGGGAAGATCCCCTGGAGAAGGAAATGGCAACCCACTCCAGTATTCTTGCCTGGAGAATCCCATGGGTAGAGGAGCCTGGCGGGCTACAGTCCACGCGGTCGCAAAGAGTTGGACACGACTGAGCGACTTCACTCACTTTCCTTCACTTTAGAGAGGCTAGGTATCTTACCACATTCACACAAGTAGAACTGGAATTCAAGCTCATGTCTGTGTGACTCCAGAGCCTGTGACTGGAAGCTCTAGACTCCATTTCCAGCCTGGTCTGGTCCCACCCATAGGTCACAGGTGATGGGTGCTATTATCAGTTATGAGGGAGAAACTGAGGCACAAGTTAGTTAATAACTTGTCCAAGGTCACAAACTAGAGGAATCTGGCTCCAGCACCACCTCCCAGCTCATTAACGGGTCCCTTAGAATGAGAAGTCCAGCATCGTCTTAATTTCTTGCATATTCTTTATGACTTCCATTGGCCTGTCTGTTTTAGTTCACATTTTAACTCCAGGGGTCTGGTAGTGGGAACTGAGTTAATATTTAGTGAATTGACTTTGAAAGTTCTTAATAAACTTCAAAAGGTTATGTGCAAAACACGCATATTTCTTTCTTAGAACCTTTTCTCTGCATAGTTTTTATTTTTTCTTGTGCATGCCATTTTTAGAGAGATTTTTAACAGAGGATAAAAGCCAGTTTCCCTGGTGGCTCAGACGGTAAAACGTCTGCCTACAATGTCGGAGACCCAGGTTCAATCCGTGGGTCGGGAAGATCCTCTGGAGAAGGAAATGGCAACCCAGTCCAGTACTCTTGCCTGGAAAATCCCATGGATGGAGGAGCGTGGTAGGCCCATGGGGTTGCAAAGAGTCGGACACGACTGAGCAACTTCACTTCAATGAGGTCATAGCCTGAGTTGGCCACTGACTAGCTGTGTAGCCTGGTCAAGGTACTTGACTTCCTTGTGCCTCAGTTTTCTCATCTTTATAATAGGCTGGAAATAATTATTGCTCCTTCCCTCAGTGAGTTAGTGATGGTGGTATCCCTCCCTCTTAGAATCAACTGAGCCATTCAATGTAAAGTGCTTATGACACAGAGAGTCCTCAGTAACTGGGCACAGTTGATGCTGTCTTTTTGCACTTACTGTTACAGTTCAGACATGGCCCATTCATCTCCTTCTGGTTGACTTGCCTTCTCTTCTCAGCTAGGAGTCTTTCAGAGTCTCTTTTTGCTTTCTACAGGTTACTCAACCTACTCCAGTTAGACTTTCCTTCCCCAATGGGACTGTTCTCACAGAAGGTCACTAGAGACCTCAGAATTGCCAAATCCAGGGGTCATTTCTCGGTCTCTGTCTCATCTGACCTCCCGGTGGCACCTGACCCCATGAGCCTGTCTCCTTGAACTTCCTTACTCCCCTGGTTTCCAAGACACAGCCTGTTCCTGCTTTAGCCCGACCTGTCTGCATTTGCCTCTTTGCACTGCAGCACGGGCTCCTTTTTCCCCACCCACTGTTTAAATGTTGGTGTGTCTCCTGTTTCTGTTTGCTTGTTAGCTGTGTGACCTCAGATGAGTTATCTAGATTCTGTCCGCCCGGGTTTCTTCATAAGTAAACCAGGGATGGCTGTATTCTTACCTTTCACAATTAGATGGTCAAGTCCATGAAACATGATGAGTATAGCACCTGGTGCTAATCCAGCACTCAATAAATATTAGTTGCTTTTATTACCATTATTTGCTTTGCTCTAAGTTTCTGTTGACTCTTGCAGCTTTCATTATTCTCCATGTACCTTCCAAATTTATCTGTGGCCCTGACTCTCTGACCACAGGCCCAGTGTTTCAAACTCCTCAGCCCTTGAGTCTGCTTGGATGACCCACAGAGCCAGCACCTTCCCCTCAAACCTGTGTCCCCCGCTGTATTTCCAGCCTTAGTTTATGTCACCTCCATTCACCTGGATACCAAGCCAGGAACCTAGACGTCATCCTAAATGCTTCCCTTTACTCTGTACTTCACCTTTCTTTACATTTTCTAACCTGTCCATGCTTCCCCATCTGTCAGAGTTATGAGAGATGCTCAGACATACATGGTGAAACAAAACAACAAAAGTACATGTTGAATGTATTGTTGTTGATTTGTTGCTAAGTTGTGTCCTACTCTTTGTGACCCCATGGACTGCAGCACACCAAGCTTCCCTGTCCTTCACTATCTCCCAGAGTTTGCTCAAACTCATGTCCATTGAGTCAGTGATGCTATCTGACCATCTCATCCTCTGTTGCCCCCTTCTCCTCCAACTCATGTTGAATGAATACTCGAACAAATAAAAGGACCATTGCCGTAGCCTCCTAATCTTTCTCTCCCTTGTCTAATCTTACCATCAGGACATTCTCTCTTCTGTCACCAGAGAGATCTT